CTTTTGGCGATGCGAATCTCAGAGCATTCCTTGCAATAGGCGCCTGTCAGCATGGCAGGAAAGATGAGATTGAGGAGGGTGAGGGCGAGTCAGCAAACCTACTTAATTCCGTTGATTACGGCGAATGTTTCCTTGACTGTCCCTGTGTCTCTGACGCCAGCCATCGTCCCGTTGTGTGGCTGATACACCATGAGCGTGAGTCGCCCAGGAGATCCGAGTTTCCGCATGGTTTGCCAGAGTCCATTGCGATGAATCCTATCGAAGACACTCCTCGGGTCGACGAAGGTAATGGTGGAATAGGTTTGCATTTTCTGGCACTACTCTTATTACTGGTGGACGGCCAAGTTTACGTTGATTGTTCAGGGATGTTGCCGGAAACTAGATTGAGCTTGCAGGAGCAAGCTTTGTTTTAGGTGATCGTTAAAATGATTTAGAAGAGTTTGAACGAATACCTCGGCGATGTTGGCCAACAAGGTGTCTCTAGGGTTATCACACCGTTGCTGATTCCATTTCCACTTGTAGAATTGAACGACGGTGCCGTCCTAAAAATCCAGTGGAACTCTTCTTAGGCCCCACATCTCCTGAAATATCGTTGTAAGATCCTCCATAAGCCGCAGCCGCCACCCCTGTAGAATTCAGTCGGGAGCGCTCTGAATCCCTCTGCTCATTCATTGAAAAGTAACGGGTGTCTCAAAAAATATTTGCACCCTAATAACACACTCACAGTTTCTAAAGTAACCTATATTTCACAAATTACTTTAAAGGAAATTTTCTGTTGACCTTTAGGACAGCTTCCACCCTATTCGCCGTCGAAAGAAGTAACTTCTGAAGAACCTTCAAGGGGATCTTTCTCCAGACGTCCAGCAGAGATCTCTCCAATCCAGCAACAATAGAAGGAGCAAGCAGTTCCTCGTTAACCATATTATCAGGAAGACACCATAGATTTCCAATTGGATTCCTGTTAGAATTATTTGCTGTCCACCTGTCTTTCCTCCAGAAATGTGGAAATTTCTCTGACAGAAAAATCTGGCTCCGTCTTGCACAAAAATAATCCTTGACATGTCCGGAACAAATTTCTTTTCAAATTATAACCTGCTCACACTATCTTCCTTCCAATCTTTCCTTTAGAATTTGCTAAAAGATTTCCCCTCTATAATATTCCCCATTTAATCGTTGACCTTGTCGTACAATTTGAAATTCAGAGAGCCCTATAAAGGACATGGCTCCCTACACCATGACTTTAGGGCTAAACTTTAGAATTTCAAAATTCTCAACCATGTTGCAGTTTGGGACCCAAATAAATTCATTTTTGTGTTTGATGGATGGGACAGTTATACAACGATTAATCAGAGAAGGCTTTGCCTTGGTTTGCCAGTGAATTTTGCAATAACGACCTTTTCAGTTCCCGCCAAACGTGTTGGTCTTCCAGTCTCTTCTGCTTTGTGAGGTTACCTGTCCGCTTATACTGTGACCATCAATACTTGACCGTCCTGATAGATACACCTACAACTTTAGCAATCATCACTCGCTTAATCCCAGCCTCTATCAGACCTATAGCTCGACCTCTGTCCTCTGAGTTTCGCGCTGTCTAGATCCCCAGGCACTGCTTTTTGCAGGCTAGAACAGCTGTTATTGCGTGGAACGACCGTTACAAACGATAGCAACCACTGTGTCATCAGGGGAGTTTTAAGTGTGTGTCCGCTGCTGGGAAGCCTTGACTGTGAGGTGTGTCCTTGCGGCCAAAATACATAAAAAATATTGCTGAACACGCGGCCCATAGTCCAAACGCTAACACCCCCTCCCCTCACTAGCACAACCTATCGCCGCGGGTGTCACGTCACCATAACCCTTCCACCAAATCCCCCCTCCCCCCCCGTTCGTTGTAACCTCTGCCTCCAAAAACCTCTAGTGCGACATTCCCAGCCCTCACTTTTAATTTAGTCTGACGA